ACCGACATTTCTTTATTTCCGTCCTTATCAGACTCTTGGACATTGAAGCAGATCCTCGAGACGAGGAACATTGCTGAGTTGGATGTGAACGAGACCGCATTGGGCTCTTTTCAAGGCTACGTTTCGAATGTGTACGTAGCTCAGAAAAGCTACCTTTAGACAAATTATTACTACTGCGATTCTCAACAGAGTTTCCTGTACCATGGGAGCTAAGAACATATCTTTCCTGGTACAATGAATAGTGTGGCTTTTATCTTGGTGGAGATCTATAGGAGCCTGACATTTTTTACATTCAAGTATTTTAACGGATTTACCACTTAATTACAAAATAACTGAACTGTTCATACTATTAAAATAGAGCACTGTTATCTTCTCAAAGGTAACGACCACAGGGGCGATGGCATGGAAAATGTTTCTTCAAACGTAGAATCCAAATCATCTACCCTTGACCCTTCATCATCAGCTGCCTCGTAATCACTTGATCCAGAGGGTGATTGAAGGCATGCTTCTTCTTGAAGATTAGAGAATATTGGTATTACATTTCAGATCTATCTAGTTCCTCATGTGCTTCCAAGTTTTCATTGGTATTTTGGTGAGCGCAATTATTTCCAAATCTCTTGTAACGCCTTCGGCTATTGTTTATGTCAGACATATGTGAACCAGCGTCTTTACTCCTGGACAGTTTTTACGTGTCCCTTAGCTTTCACACATTCATCTGTTCGTTCCTAGATATTGCATTTTCAGATGACATTCTTCTATCATACACATCTTTACTTAGGTCACCTCTGAGTTTTCCTTATACTGACATTTCTTTATTTCCGTCCCTTATCAGATTCTTGGACACTGAAGCAAATCCTAAAGACGAGAAACATTGCTGAGTTGGAGGTGAACGAGGCCGCAATGGGCTCTTTTAAGGCCACGTTTCGAATGTGTACGTTGTTCAAAAATGCTACCTTCAGACATAATATTATTACCACTGCGATTCTCAACAGAGTTTCCTTTACCGTGGGAGCTAAGAACATATCTTTCCTGGTACAATGAATAGTGTGGCTTTTATCTAGATGGAGATCTGTCGGAGCCTGACATTTTTTACATTTAAGTATTTTAACAGATTTACCACTCAATTACAAAATAACTAAACTGTTCCTACCAACAAAATAGAGCACTGTTATCTTCTCAAAGGTAATGTAGGAATGTAGTACATAATGATCATCTGAATCGATTCCCATTCTACAGAAGTAGAGTTAACAACCATAGGGGTGATTGCAAGGAAAGCGCTTCTTCAAACGTATTATCCAAATCATCTACCGTTGACCGTTCATCATCAGCTGCCTCGTAATCACTTGATCCAGAGGGTGATTGAATGAAAGCTTCTTCTTAAAGATTAGAGAATATTGGTATTACATTTTCAGATCTATCTAGTTCCTCATGTGCTTCCATGTTTTCATTGGTATTTTATCGAGCGCAACTATTTCCAAAACTCTTGTAACGCCTTCGGTTTTTGTTTATGTCAGACGTATGTGAACCAGCGTCTTTACTCCTGGTTTTTAGGTGTCCCTTAGCTTTCACACATTCATCTGTTCGTTCAGATATTGCATTTTCAGATAACATTCTTCTATCATACACATCTTTACTTAGATCGCCTCTGAGTTGATCTTTTACCGACATTCCTTTATTTCCGTCCCTTATCAGATTCTTGGACACTGAAGCAGATCCTCGAGACGAAGAACATTGCTGAGTTGGAGGTGAACGAGACCGCATTGGGCTCTTTTCAAGGCCACGTTTCGAATATGTAAGTAGTTCAAAAAAGCTGCCTTCAGACATATTATTACTATTTTTTTCTTTACCATGGGAGCTAAGAACATATCTTTCCCGGTACCATGAATAGTGTGTCTTTTTTATAGTTGAGATCTATCGGAGCCTGACATTTTTTACATTCAAGTATTTTAACGGATTTACCACTTAGTTACAAAATAACTGAACTGTTTATACCAACAAAATAGAGTGTTGTTATCTTCTCAAAGGTAACTAAGGAATGCCGTATGTCGTTATCATCTGCATCTATTCCCATTCTACAGAAGTAGATTTAACGACCGCAGGGGCGAGGGCATGGCAAGCGCTTCATCATCAGCTGCCTCGTAATCACTTGATCCAGAGGGTGATTGAAGGCATGCTTCTTCTTGAAGATTAGAGAATATTAGTGTTACATTTTCTAACCTATCTAGTTCCTCATGTTCTTCCAAGTTTTCATTGGTATTCATTGGCAAGCGCAGGCTACTTGAGCAGTGTACTCGGTGAAGGCGGAGCCTGGGGGGTACCCACCGGAGCCCCATCTTTACCTGAACCTCAACTTTACCTGAGCCTTTACCTGAACTTCTTTTAAAACCTCTGAAGAACGGTTGTCAACGGTTTAACGTTAGCTGTCCAATCAGTTGTAATTTAAATTAGTTCCAAATACAGACTTTGGGATATAAGCTGATCCTATTACATTTTTTGTTGTTGTAGATCTAGTTACTGTACACAAACTGCTGAAAGTGACAGTCACTACAGGAGCAAACTGCTTAATATAGCTTTGAACTAAGTAAACGATCCCCTCCATCAAGGTAACCAGATAGGCTTAATCATGAAAGGACAGATACAAACCTGTAAAGGATAGTTTAGTTACCCCAAGCACTAGACCATCCATGCCCCCTTAAAAAAATATTTTTACCTCTATTTTATCTTATTCTTATTAGCTTCAGTTCCAGCTATCTCCAGTTGTTAAACTCGCTATGTGATAATTTGAATATCTGTATATAATCAAGTCCTCTGTTATTTGTAAAGAATGATCGTTCTGTAAATGTAGTTTCTTTAGTTTTAAGGTAAGCTTATGTTCTTTTTACTTTATAAATTTGTGAATGAGAATCATAGCCGACATAACATTCAAGTAGACAAGGAATGCTGGATAAAAAAGTTGGGAAAGCTTGTTTCTTTTTTGTATTGGTGTATTTTTGTAATATTTAATTGATTTTTCGAGGCCCAAAAACTACATGTTAATACTTCGTAAAGAATGTTTTGTAGTTATTCTGCAAAATGTTTTAATTTTAAAACAACTTGTATTATACACTTTGTGATTAAATTTTTACTAAAAGGGGCAACATTTTTCTATAATTGTTCTTTTGGTACTTTAGTTTCAGTCAAATCAAAAATATTCTGTACACTTAATTACTTCGAGTTCTGAAGTTTTGTCTACATCTAAAACTATATTTGGGATTGTTTACTTTAGTATTCAAATAAAACATCAATGAAATATCAATGTTGATTCTTTTGTCCCCTCGTATGTGTAATACTGGAGCTAGCTGTTTTGTGTTCAATGCGCGATAAATGCTTGTGCAGGTCGCTATCTGTCTGGCCGACCTATATCATTAAGTTTTAAATGCAACAACGACTTGCTCTCAATCCTGCTAGGCTATCTATGTCCTAGTAATCAGCAAACTGAGCAGCAAAAGTGATCCCCCAATCCCTTATCTCGTTTCTTCCCCAGTTACTATTGGATATTCTTAAGTCGAAGACTCTCTTTCTCTGGCTTATTGCCAAATCCATATATCTTTATTTTCTCTCTACGGCGTTGCCAATTTCAAATATTATTAGTGAAAAAGTATTTTCATTATACACATTGTCTAGATTAGTTGTTTTAGTTTTCTAAAGAGAGCAACATAGTTCCCTACGCCCTAAAAACGTGTGTGTGATTATGTCGTGAAAGACTGAACCTGGTTAACTTATCTGGTGTGAGCAGGAGTATCCAATTCTACTGAGGGCTAGGAACCTGGGTACCCAGGTAATCGCATAACACAGCAGCAAATTGTGAGTGACTTATTTTATTTCTACTGGTAGAATATCTGGTGTAATGTTATCCTCCGCTCCCTCACATGTCGCTGGTTAGAAGATAGGAATAGGACCGCTATTTAAAATAAAATTTTAATATTACTGTAGACCTAATAACATTACAGTACCTTGTCCATAAGCCACAACGGCCTATTATTATCTCTTATTTTCTGCCTAGAATAACTTTCACATTTCATTTCCTCAATTGGCAAAACAGTCAACTTTGATATCAAAGGATTGTCAGCGGGGATTTACACCCTCACACTTTCTAAAACAAATAGAAGAAATATTTTCCCCCTCACTAAACATACAAATATATACATCATGAACCCAAAATTAATGACCTGAAGATTGCATAAATATATATCCTAAAATATTTTATTTTCTCATTATTATGTTGTTCAATCTTTTGACAAGTTTATACATTTGGAAAAACGATCGCTTTTCTGCTGGCAAATAGATTTTAAATAAAATTAGATGTTTGGCAAATTTTAATTTCTTAAATGCATTGTATATGGAGTTAAAATAAGTGTATATGTGAATAAAGAAAGGTTTTAAGTTCCAACAATGAATCAAAATCATGGTGTATTGCTAGTGTAATGGTTGGTATTTCCGACTTCTTTGTAAGAGGGATCGATCCTCACAAAAAATTTATTGGCTCGGACTGCTTTCCCTTAAAAAAGTTTGTGATTCCTCAATTGATTCCCGTGATTGATGCCTCTGGCACACATAGTAACAGAGGAGGAAATGAGTACAAAAGTATGTCTAGAGCTGAGAGGTTTAGCTACCACTAACCAGCCAAATTCTAGTTCAAGATTGTGTTTGATTAGCAGCAACTATCCTAAAAAATCATTACTCTTCTTTCACACCTATAAATATATTTGAAACGGTTACCTCTGCCATAGGTAAAAGTGTCAATGGTCAGCTTAACAACTGATGTTGATCGTGAGATTGCTGTAATATTTAGTTCTTGCAAATTTTATATTGAGAGTTTGGTATTCTTTGCAGGAAAAATATTTTTTTAATTCTTTATTCCTATTTACAATTAGTTTGTTTGACTCGGTCAAACAATATTTTGAAGTTCAGGTAATATCCAGGATGAGGAATGAGATTTTGTAAGGAAACAAATAAAAAAATTTAAATGTTTAAATTAATTTACTTGATAACTAACAGTAAATTAACTGATAATGATAATAATGTGTTAACATAATTGAGGGTTAATGTTTTATCTTCACAGTCCATGGTCGGGTCCAAAATCCATAAAAAGCTACGCAAGGTTTATACACGATCGGTCTTCTTTGGAACTGTTCTGTCTAGATGTTTGATAGTTACATCGACTACAGCCATGTTTGGAGTGATGAACTCTTGCAGTGTGTTGACACCGTCACGAGGCAGACGGTCGAAGGGGTAGCCCATAGACCTCTTGTCTGGGTACTTGCTATCACGCAGACCGCAGAAACTAGCGGCGTCGTCTGTACACTGCTTGCCTCCAGTGTTGGTTCTTTCAACCTGGTAAAAAAGTATTATGGTTCACAATTTGCATGAGAAACTGTGGATTTTAATTGAAAGTGGTGTAAGTACCTATTTAGATAATCTGCGGATTGTAATCAGCAATGACGAGGTGTAATCACGTTTATCTAAAGTCTATACTCAATCAACCGTTCTGCTGGGTTTACGTCTTAATAAATCAGCTGGCTATTAATATTTACGAAGTTGTATCATGCGTTAAGCAGAAGATAGCAAACAAAAACATAATTGTATGTCCTAGTAGAGCATGATTATGGCTCCTCTTTGGTGTTCAAACTTAAACTTCAATTTTTAGCAGGAATATTGGTGGTTTTATCCTGTCATGAAAATTCAAACTGCCTTTTGGACAAGATGCTTTACAAAATCAGAAATTGGCATAATCTTTTTTTCTGTTAACCCAGATAAATCAGTTTTGACATTTATTATCATAAAACAAAACTTTTTACATTTGCTAGTTTAATCAAATGGAACCATTAATCTGTAGATATTCTACTAATATTATTTTTATTTTGATGTTTTATGGTCATCCAATTCTTTAATTCTGATGGTAGAGAGCACTTCGAAGTTATGAGGGATTTTATGCTGATGAAGGATAGTGTGTGTCTTAATTCTTCTTATCAGTTAACTCTGATAATATTAATCTTATTTGTCCATCCAAGAATTAAACTACTTACTCTGTCATCCTCATAGTTGGAGATCATAACAAACAGCTGACATGGCATTCCCTGAGGTGTTCCACGGGGCACTAACATGTGTTCTGGCCAACCACAGCCGCAGAAGTTGAAATCCTCCAAAACTGTTCCTGCTGCTGGTCTTCCTGCCTCTAGGTTACGGAAAGTTCTTTCGAATGGGATGGTGACTGATGAATCCTTTGATTTGCGCTCAATAACATTGGTTCTAGGCTTCACTGAAATATAAATTTGTGATTTATTACAATTCTCAAATTTAACTTAACCCTTCGCCTCCCGAACTATAGGTGGATATACCCGCTATCATTTTGCGCATAGCGGACGGTAGGCGGATATATCTGCCTATCTATTTTGGCTCCATGGAAGGTTGGCGGATATATCCACCAATCATTACGACATCTATTGTTTTAGTTGATTATATATAACAACAATAATTTTTGTAAAAACGGGTTTTCATTCAGGTATATCTTTAAACCATGTACTAGGAATGTTTTTCTAAAAGAATTTTAAAAAAACTAACAAAACAATATTAAAAAAATTGGACAAAAGTAGGCCTACTTGCATAGGTCAACTATTTACAACATTCTATAAATTACAGATGTGAAAAAAATATTAATTATTTTTTATTAATTTTGCTGTCTGTATACATATTATAGGCCGTCCGGGAAGTGTTAATTTTTTTTTGTGTTGTTTATTTTCTTCAACATTTAATGATGATTAATTATATTTTCAATTTTTATTTTATGATATGAGTTGTTTTTACTTTTGATGCTCTGATGATTTATTTATTATTTATATAAAATACGAAACATTGGAAAGACCTTTGTGAACCAGGTCAATTAAGACCCCTAAGGCAGTTCATTTATAAATGTTTAAGTTTGATGGTTAAACAAATTAATTTATTTTAGAGGCTGGTATTATCTGTATTTAACTTGCAGATAAATACTATATCAGAGAGTTACTTACATGTAACAGTAAACTTGTCCATTTCTATGAATAATCCCTTTTGGTCTCTGAACAGGAATGGCAGGCCTCGCTCATCAAACTTGGGGGCCAAAAATATTCTACAGGTGCCCATTCTCTGTTGGCCACTGTTTTCAACCTGGAGGAGTATGAATTTATTTAATGATAATCACATCTACAAGTAAAAATTATAAAAGATTCCCCAAATATTCAAATGATTGATGTAATTAATATGCCGGGGTACTTTAAAGCATAAAATAAAATTCAAATTCACCTAAACCAAAATGCTGAAATGCTTGGAAAACAACAGTGTTTTAGCTGTATTCATCAAGGAAACTAAAGGAGTCAATTTTGTTATCATAATTTGAAGAAGTGGAGAAAAATTAATGATTTAAGAACAAATCAATTTGTTATACTAGGTAACTTATACTTTGCACAACATGTTTTGTTAGTCTTAGATCATTATAATCATACATAAATCCTTTCACATAATTACTAGTGTTTATAGTACATATTGTTACATTGCAAACAAAAATTTTAAGTTACCGTAATCCTGTATGTGAAAGGTATGTGTTGGAGATGAGTAAACCGGGCATAGATGTTTCCACGAGGAGTGAAGTCGAGCCCTCGAGAGAGATCCAGATCACTTTGTTGCCAAAGAGTCACTAGCAGATTGTCCGGAGAACCTTGAACCTTTATTTGAGCGGATGTCACTTGCACACCTGCATAGTTCAACTGAAACAACAATCACCGTTACAGATCCACACAGAAACAGAGCCTTCATTGAAAGGTTGGCAATAAATTACTGATTGATAAGTGAAACTCTATTTTTGGTGAGAAGATCTGTGGTAAATATTATTAAAAAATATACAATGAGCGGTAAGGTGGACTTATGTTAGTTTTAAACAACGACTAAATAAAAGTTAGTAATCAAAATCATAATAAAGGGCTCTAGGACAGAATTTTTTTAAATTTTGTTTTTAAAGGATAAACAGGCTTACCTGTACATTGTACATAGGGTGAGTCTTCTCATTATTACACTCATTCATATACATTAATCACATACAAAATTGAAATATTTAATGGTCATAGACCACTTCTGTCAACCAAAAGGAAATGAAGAATGTAATGGTAGGGTTGCTACAGTATAAATGGGTTGCAGTAGTACAAATCATTCAGGTTGGCAACTCAAAGATTCACTACCAATGTTGTCATTCAGAAGAAAAATTGTTTCTTTGTTTGTTATTGGAAAAGTGGTCAGTGATCATGAAATATTTTAGTTTTGTTTTTGAATTTTTCATGGACTTGAAAGATAGTCACCACTGACTTAAGATTAATAGTGTAATAAGTAAAAAAAAGAGAAAAAACAAAAAAACAAATAAAATCAGAAAGGTTAGAGTGTTTGTAAGGTTAAAAATTCAACAGATATTTTGATCAATTAATACATGTATTTTCAACACAATGATTTTCATACTTTTAGGTTAGATTCTTAAACTGCCATTGTTTATTCACTTAATTTAAAAGTACTAACAATTAATTGCCAGGGTAGCCATTGTAAAGCTAGTCTTGAAATCTAAAAGTTTCTGGTTCAATCTCAAGCAGAGTGACAATTGATAAGACCAGGGTTTGGACCGTTTTCTAAAAACGTAAAACGGCGCAAAAGAACCAAAAGTACAAACACTTTACCCTGTCAGTGTTGTAGCGCGGCAGCAGGTTCTTGTGCTCCTGGAAGACATCGTCTACGAAGGCGTGCCAGCGGTAGAAAGCCGGGTCTCTCATGGCCGTTGCGGGGTCACCCATCACTCCGAAAGTTTCCTTAAAAAAATTGTGATTCTTTTAAAGAAATATGGTCAAACAGCACTGACTTTGTATTCCGAAATAACTAATGAAACTAAAAGTAGCCTATCCATTTATCCTATAAATCATCACTAAAGAAAGACTAGGGTCTCAGGCCAAAATCGAGCCGGGCCAATGTAATTAATTAACTTATTTCTCTTTTGTCTTAACTTCTATCCGTGTCTATAATATTAAATGAAAATAAAATATGAATAAATATTGTATTTATGTATTTTGTATTATTTCATATTTTATTTACAGCTTGGGAACAACCCAACACCAACTCAACCTCAACTGCAAGAAACAAGAAAATATTTTGTTATTAAGGCATTCTTTTCCATGCTGATAACTTTTTAATTAACTAAATAGTTAAATGACTACAAGTTTTCTATAGAATTTACTTAATGTAAAAAGATGATCAAAAATTCAGTTAACATTTCACAATTTTAGGGCCTGAACACAATTTTAATGGTTGATTGGCCAAGACTGCAAGCAAGAAGAAAATTCTATGTTTCCATGCAATTTGTATCATATTCATTTCCCTGCCTCCTAAGTAAAAAACCTCACACTTGCAATAGCATTATTAGCTACATCATCATAAATACATTTAATGTATCTATTATTGGCATTAGTACCATTTTACATAAGAATTATTAACGACTGTAAAAATTACATATCATGTCATACAGTAGTATAGATAGACCTAGTGCAAGAGATAAAAATCTAAAAACAACTGATCTTAATAACTAATAAATTTAAAGAGTTTATTATAAATCTATAAACTCTAGTCAAACAATGTAACAATTAAATGTTGTCAGTACTACAGTCAGTAGATGACTGACTGGCTCTGGCTAGTGGCAGTGAGGCAATTGCTCTGCTGTGTCTTTATTCTTAAACATCGTGAACATATTTGATATTTAATTCGAATCTGAGAAATTTAATTCCTCTGCATTAATAGATAATATAAAAGTGCTTCTTTGAAAATAAATTATAGTTATTTTTTGGCCCGAACAAATCTCTGATCTGATCCAGTTTCTCGGGCCTTCTGTTGGCCTGACCCACCACCCGAAAAATTCAGTGACCCGCAGACCAAAAATGTATGGGTTTTATGTCTAATTACTTTCATCAGTCTAAATCTAAATGAAAGAAAAACTTTGATATTGAGCTAAGGCACCTCTGCCAGTTGCTAGTGGAACACTTACCAAGTGACGACTGTCAGGATCATGAGACAGAGCGATGGCGACGTGACCGATGTTGTGAAGATCTCCGTACAAGAATCTGTTGACTGACAAGATACTAGACTCCATCATGTCACCCAAAATGTCAATGCCTTTTTCCTCGTCCAACATTTGAGTTCTTCCGTCCGCCTTTACAAAACTTAATGTTAACTTGAATTCTTGTATGGTATCTTCAAAATAATTGTGCAAAGAAGTAAACAAATAGGAAGAATATTCTCAGAGTATTACATTAGGAAGCAAGTAATGTTCAGCAACTTGACAAAAGTTATGAGATTTACTTTTTTAGTCTCTGATACAAATTCCTTATTTAAGTACTGTATCTTTCTATAGAGAATAATATACATATATATAGCATATGTAGTTTGCTATTAGAAAACCCGCTAGAAGTCATAACACTACAGAATTGGCAACAAACATTGAAATGTAACCCAAGTTATTCTTGGGGAGACTTTCCATCTCAATTAGAAAACAAACAAAGACGCTAATGCTTTTCATGTCTGTAATAATCCCTTAAAAACGCCATATTCATCACCAAAAACAAACTTTAAACATAAAAATTGAGACAGATGCAAGAAAATGTGGCAAGAAAATATAAACTGATAATCCATTCATGCTAGAGATTACTGTTCTCTGTTGTAGTAGACCAAAGCATTTTAGTTAATTTATTTTAATTGAATGTGTTAATCTCTTGTTTTGTGACCTGACTATTAATAATTAGACTTACAGTGATGACAGATCCAGTGTGGATAGCTTGATAGAACCGATCCCGCCAACGCTCCATATCTTGGATATCAAACTTAATCTGGTCAACTTCACGATTAACATCCTGAAATTAAAAATAGGATAGACATAAATTCTTATATATATTTTATGATGAAACACACTTACAGTACCTAATTAAAAATGATTGATTTTCCGTTTCTGTAAATGTATATATGATTGATGAGTTAAAGCTTATTTATTTTAATGGATCATTTTTGAAACATAAAACATTTAATTTGTAAAATAAAACAATAATTTATTGTCGTCAATTTCAATTTGCCTGATTCTGATTGGATTCTCACTAAAATAAATTCTTTTAAAATGTCACAAAATTAGGTTTAATGAATAGTTTTGCTGCTACAGGGTAGCTAATCATGTGTGTTGTTTGGTAACATCGTAATAGCTAAGTATTAAATAAATAAATACATCAAATTTTATCAAAATGTATCCATAAACAAGTAAACTACAACAGTTTACAAATTTTGAAATTTACTATTTTTTCAATTTCTTTTTAAGCGCCCAGCAACGCTTCAGTGTATTATATTGTTTTTTTTTAGTTTTACAAATTGGTTTGGGAAAAATTGTAAACATTTTATATGATGATAAAAAATTAGGAAAAGCCCATTCTTACCCCATAAATCCCCATTCCCATAGTCTGATCATGCTGGTTTGCAAACTCCTTTAAAGAAATGTAGGTTTACATTTTTTTTACCAAATTTCATAAAATCGGATGTCTTTTACGAGTTATTGTGCTAACGCACATATACTTATGAATTTAATGGATACTTTTGGCATCTGGGGATCTCAAAACGAAAGAACAATTCCGTCTTGGTATTACCATGGGCCCTATTTCCTATATAGGAAATTCACTAAAATACTCATATGTGTTTGAAAATACAATACAAATTACAGTAATTTAATTTCTTTATAGAATTCTGGCAGTATTTATTTGTTAAAGTATGCTTATTAATTTAAAATCTTGATTTGTGAGCAATAAGTCACATAGAAGACAACAGTGAGGTAAATTTTAATAAAATTGTATATATAGTTCAGTAACAGATTTCACAACTTAACTGTGAACATATAATTCATTTCAAACTAAGAATAGCTTTTTGGCAGTTTAAACTTACAGAGAGAATGGTGTTGGAGGTGCGAGGAGGCCAGACACGACTTGACACAAGACTATCAAGTTTGGGGAAATATCCCTCCGGAATTGGGTCCCTCCAGTTGAGAAGACGCTTGGTTCGGGCAAGATTGACACTGAATCTTTCAAAGTTGTATCTGTGGAATTTCATTGTGTGTCAGTAAATTTGAAATACAAATTATTAAAATACTGAGTCTTCATCAGGTATGTCATAATCTAAAAGGTAAATAAAATTAAAACCATAAACGTTAATTTTTTTACATTTATTATTACAATACTACCCTTATTAAGTGACATTACAATTGCATTAAAGAGATCAATACATGCATTTAACCTCTTCCCCTCTTCTCAACGGCTAACACATCAGTGGCGGTTCCAAGGAGGAGCTACAAGAGCTAAAGCCCTCCCCCCCATTAGCATTGGAACAATAAAATTGTACATACATTTGTCCTAAAAACGTAACAGAGATTTTTTGATACAGTACAGTAGAAATTAAAAATGGCTTTACAAAGCCACCAAATTTTCTGGGGGGCTGTCCCAAACCCCCTGTTAGCCCCACCTTTGCCAAGGACCTAGAACCGCCATTGGGCTAACAATCAGTTTTATTCAAAATAACACTATGTTAATTGCATACTTCACATATGGCAAAGGTATCGGTATATATTACTAGAAGAATATTTTTTATCAAAATTAGATAAAGGATTAATTTCAGGTTATGAGTTTCATAAACACCAGGTAGCAATATTGCTATTAAGCTTAAAGGTTTAATAATTTAGACAAACTAAGCAAATTTCTACCACAACCCTCCTTTGTTAAGATGGTTGCTTAAAAAGATACCACAACTTACCTAGCCATGATCTGTTGGTGCATGTAGTAGAACAGTTCCCCTCGACGATCTTTGGCAACAATTTCACGAGCAGCCTCAAAGGGGTACACAAGATGCCAATGCCAGTGATGCAAGTTTATTCCAATGTCCTCACGGAAGTAAGCAACCCTGTGTTCTTCATCAAGATCTGATGCAGTATAATCCCGAGGAATCACCAGAGGCATCTGACAAATCAATTATTACATTTTACTCTCACGGCTTTAAAAAAAATAATAGTTTAATAATTAGGGGGCCCAATGTGAATATTTCCCCCACAAGCTATTTTAGCCCCGCAACATATTTATTGAGAACATCAGCCGTTTTTGTTGCAGACGGGAAAATACTGTAATCTCAGTCTTCCGGTAGGGGCCCCATCAACCGGAAGACCATAAGATTTCAGTGATGACACCGGCCGCTTAAGCCTACAAATGGTCACAGGAATAAAAAAGAATGGTTTAGTTGTCTTGTAATCCTGAACTATGTTTTAACCCTTCACGGACGGGTGACGGATATATACGCCTAAGTCTTTGGCGATAAAGGACGGGTGACGGATATATCCGCTTATGGTTTTTAATGTTCCGGACGGGAAGCGGTTATATCCGCCTTCTCTTCAGACAGACTGGCAGGCGCTTGAGCAGTAACCGGGTGTTTTGCGGTACCAAGGCGCCACTTTCCTGCTCTCTCCATGGCTGCGCTCTCCCCCGCATACCCCCCTCGCTCGCGGGCCAACCCCTCTTCTGCGCCACCCCCTAGGCCTCATGTTTTTTTGCTAATTTTGTTGCTCAGCAATTTTCTCAATAACAAAACTAAAACAATCTGTTTTACTTTGAAAAAGACACATATAATATATATAAGTGTGTGTGAGTTTGAAAGGATGGTGTTTTTAGCCTCTGGGGACCTCAAAACAAAAAAGTCCCGGTTCCAGGTCTTACCATGAGACCTACGGTAATAGCTTATTCCCTATATGGGAAATTCACTAATAGAGAAAGTAAAACAGTACCCACCCTACTTCCACCATCTTGCACAATATTGGACTCTTCTCTAGCTCTTGAGAACACACCAGAATCCATATACTTCTCTGGGAACACCTCTGCGAATGAAGGCACAGGAAAGTTCTTGGTGTCCTTTCTATGAAGAAGAGCAACGGACAACGCATAGAAGTAGAGGAAAGAGTTGATTCGGTCACGAGCGTAAACGGACAAAGAAAGGAAATCTTCAAGGGTTGGTTGACCTGTTAAAAAGAAAGAAATTGTTTGATACGGTTGAAAAAGAACAAAATACAATTAAATATGTTACAGCAAAGAAAGGTATTATTTCTATATTTAAAACATTTTTGAATATGTATATTACATGTATTATTTACATTCAATGTGTATATCCAATATATATTATACTTAAATCAATCATAAACAGGTTATTCCAAATTTGCTATTTGACAGTTATTAGATTTAACCTACACTAGACTCATATTTTGTTTCCCTTTTAGTAGGAAGCTAAATTTAAACAATGGAAATGCTAACTCATGATGACATTGATTTAAATGGAAAGTGAAGGATTTTACAGTGTGTAGAAAGATAACTTTTTTTGTTTTATTCAACAACAATAAAACAACTATCAAACTACTGGTACCATTATCACCAATTATATTAGAATAACTTATTAGAAATTTTGGATAAAAAATCTGAATTTTAAATCATATTCAGGACACAAATTCCCAGATACAGTAAGTACTTTTGCCACTGAGCTGATATTTTCTAACTAAAATAAATTAATAAATCTTATTTGAGTATTTTATTATCAATGGAAAGGGAAACACTGATAACTGTCTCCTAGTTTAATTTTATATAGGGTTAAATTACTTCTCATTTCATGTAGTAATATTTGTCATCTATCAGTATCAAAATAATTAGCTACTGTACCTTAATTACTGATAATATGGGAAAAATTCAAATGCTTTAATAGTTTCCACTTACTCATGAAGGCATCAATGAGGGCAGCAGCCATCCGACGATGGTAAGGAATGAAGAGAGAGAAGTTGTCCTGGCGACCAAGAGACTGGGGTAAGGAAAGATCAGGAATGTTGATTTTCTTAATCTGAATCCTTTCCTTTGTTTCCTCTCCAAAACGGTTGTTGAGTTCATCTTGCAACGGCTTGTATCTATCAATCTGTCAAAAGAGTTTTATTTGTTCTTAATCTTAACAAATTCCCCTCTACCATGCAACTAATAGGTCTCAATGTGGGAGATGAGGAAGCAAATTTGTTAATAATTTGGAATAAAAGCAAATTATACATTTTTTGTTGGTTTTATTACATATGCTGTACAATGAATGATTGAACTGGTGTGATTTTAATGTTGTTTACAAAAACAGGTAAGTTAACATAGGTAGGTCTACTTAATATATCTATTAACAAAGAGAAACAAATTATGTTAATTAAAATCTAGCTTTAAACCTCAGGTAAAAATATTATAGCATAAAAATTAAGGGGAAATATTTTTAAATGATGATTGCAAATAAAATAACCAATTGAATGAAAATTAATAGTTTCTTTATTAGTATAAGTTTCATACACTACATTGTAAGTTTATTTTTTTTATTTTTACAGCGTTAAGTAACATTTTACATAAAACTTGAGTATTATCCAGTTTGGTTAGTCCACAAGAAAAATTTAATGATTCATAGAACACAGCAAGTTCTTATAAGGATTTCAAAGTAATAATGTTTTTTTTTTATAAACAGCTATTGACTTTATGAGGATCAATTTGCAAAAAACACACACAGATAATTTCATATTAAATAACAGTATAAATATGGAAAGTATAACAGTATAAATCAAGCTTTTTAGAATAACAAACTTTGTTACAAAATATTGGGAGTGTGTGCAATACCTTGCCGGCACATACTACTCAGTATCATTTTATGACCTCACAGTTTCAGTTTCTTACTCTTTACATTTATATTAAATATAAACTATAATAAATTGTGTTGTTGGAGTTACTTTTTAATTTTTATCAGGTAAGCTTTAGTCCTGTGTGTCTCTTCTACACCCTATGCATTTAAGAAACTTTTATGTTTGCTATTACCATATAAATCTTTAAATTACAGTATGAGAGAGCCACACTTTGTAAGGTTTTTATTTTAAGTTTAATGTATAACTAAATGTATACATTATAAAAAAATATATCAGTTTACCTCTTTTGAGTTAATATAAATTGGTTAGAGAGCAGTTACAGCGGTCTTATAGAGTACATAGTAAGAATGTTACATAGAATCTAGCTGAACATTGCCAGCTTAAAATCTTGATTTAGGGTTATGTTAATCAAAGCTTTACAGAATGATTCTATTTTACTTCAAATACTTACAAGGTATTCCTGAGGTATATCAAACACTGCCTGTTGAGCACCCTTGGGCATGAACGTGGGCTCGGTGGGACGCTCAAACAGCAACAGAAGATGTTCTTTGATTTTGTCTGCGGAACTCATGTTGACAGCAGTAGAAGCCTGGAAAACAACACAACATTACGGTATTTGAATATACAAAGCTAACACATAACAGAGTAATTACAAAAGTTATTTTTAAGCTAGCTGGTACAACCATAGATATTGTCACGTCTTGGCGCAGTTATTGGCACTTATAAAGTAGTCTGCTGTTCTATAAATATATCTTACACAAAATTCTCCTAATTGGTTATGCTGATAAATCAAACAGACCTAAAAAAGGATTATTGGCTTAGTTTGTCTCTATCATGCAGTTTGATAACTTCAATGCAGTACTTCAAATTTCAAACAAATTTCCAAAATAAAAATGAGTTTTTTAGAATTATGACTTTTATTAGCCATTATAAATTATGTTAATGCGTATTAAATTATTACCTAGACAAGACTCTCAAATCCAGTGAAAAATTAGTTATTTTTAGTAAGTGGGAGAAAACTTAGACTTAAAAATATATATAAATCAATTTAAAAAAACAAGTTATTAATTGCTTTAAGGTCTATCATCTATATCCATTCTTTAAAAATGTTATACTTTTGATTAATTTTGTCCCTAATTTAACTTCTCATTTTAGTTTTTAGTCTACCTAGAATAAGAATAAGAGTAAGAATCCTTTATTGTCATTAGACCTAGTTGTGCAATAGACATTTTCAAAGCTATAAACTAAAATACCCCCGCCGCAGCAAACCTGCAGACTAAGCGAATTTCAACTCGTCTCATTACATTTTTGCTCAAATATTTCCATAAATAAGACATATTTTTATTCCCTGTTTAAATAACATTAGATTTAACGAGTGCTTAGGTTTGCTGCTACGGGGAAGGTAAAAAGTGTTTTTTGACTATACGTCAATAGTATAGGATGAAATAAATAAATTTGCCAAATTTTATCAATATATATCCATAAACAAGTAAACTACAACAATTTTCATTTTCTCCATAAGAATAACATGGGAATTTTAAATTACACTATTTTTTAATTTTCTCCGTGACCGTTAGGCATACAACAGCGCTTCAATATACTAAATTATTTCTTTTTTTAAGCTCTACAAAACGGTCTAAAAATAAATTGCAAAATTTTTTATTTATAGGGTCAAAAATGGGAAAACCCCATTTTTACCCCATAAAACCCCCCATAAACCCCCGTTCCCATAGTCCGATCATGCTGGTTCGCGAACTCGTTTGAATAAACGTAGGTTTACACGTTTATACCAAATTCCATCGAAATCGGATCATTTTTGCTCGAGTTATCGCGCTAACGGACACATATATAAATATATATATATGAATTTGAACGATTTGTGTTTTTGGCCTCTGGGGACATAAAAATGAAAAAGTAAATCGGTCCCGCGCCCAGTTCTTACCATGAGACCTACGGTTATAGCTACTTCCCTATAGGGAAATTCGCTAAAATGTAACAGAGTCATGAACATTTATCACAGTGGACCTTATGTAACATAGATGTAAAACTTAGCCTATATCACAGATGAGATCACAGTTTTGAATTAAGAATAAATATCATAAAATAAAAATAGTTGAATAACAATGCATGTTACTTAATTAAAATCTATAAAATCAGTAGCACTCAAATGTAAAATATGATTAACAGAATAAAGTTGGTGCTTTAGAAGACCATTTGTTGCTTCAGTTTTAAAATTAGCAAAGGATTCTATATTTCTGACATGATGAGGTAGTATATTGTACAGTTTAAGCCCTATAACTTTAGAGCTTTTGGCTGCTTTGGTCAATCTACAAAAGGGAATGTCAATTCATGCTTGAGCCTTGTGTTGTGTTGTGGCATTACATTACATAACATTACATTTAGCCGTTTCAACAAGAATACAGATCATTTTTTTACTAAACTTTACATACCTCGTCTTGCAGTTCAAATATAGTGTTTGATGTCCACTACAGATGTTTCGCCACAAATTGGATAAAATGTTTCTGAAACCACTTGAGAATGCCATATATGGCGAAACATATGTAGTGGACACCAAACACTATATTTGAACTGCAAGACGAGGTATGTAAAGTTTAGTCTATACTACGCAGTTCAGGGGCTACAAAATGGAATTTAATATTTTTTTCCATCTAGTAGAACATAAAAAAACATATCAACTAAAGACAGTTAACACTTTTTCAGTGTCCTATAATCCGTAACAGTTTAATTGCATATATCAACGTTATTTTCAAATAAAAATGTCATGTTAAACTACTCATGAGTTAAGCTCTTGTGTAAGTTTCATCTTAAATCTAAGTGAGAATCGATCTTTTCAACTAGTCTCACCATGTATTAGGTACTACAATATTTAAACTATATTTGCTGCCAAAAAATATTGTATGTGTGTTATAATTGAGTAGTTTTTATGCGTGTTATATAGGAAATAAAGTCTTGATAAATATGTATATGAACTATAAAAACTCTAGTAAAAATATCCAAATATCCATTTCATACTGTGCCAACTCAATAATACAGATGAAGAAATATACCTTTTGTTAGATTAAATATATTGAAATAAATTTTTTTATTACTTACCTGAGCAATAAGAGTAGAAGACGGACTGAAGACAGCAGTTCAGGCTCTTGGTTTATATACCAATTCACAGGATGTGTCTTAACCACAGGATTGATAACACACATTGAAACATTCACGTAGGCCTATTTATTTTTGTCATTAAGGAAATCTTGTTTATCAATATTAATGAGTAATGCTTAATGTTAAATTCATCAAAAACAAATATTAAAACCTATATCCATAGATAAACACATAAAGATATACAAAAAACAAGATTTATAGAATACATTTTAACAGGAGAATAACTAAATAAATATAGTAAAACTAACATAAAGCTTACAAAAAAAATAAATAAAAAAAATAAAACTTAAGTCCTTTTAATAAAGCTCTGTAGGACTACAGTATATTTAACTGTGTACATCCGTACATGTTAATAAGGAGTTGTAATCAACATATGATTTCTTAACACACATGGTTTATGTTATTGTTTTTAATGTTTATGTTTATGTTTATATATTTTTCATTCAGTTAAAATGGTTGAATAAAATGGGTTGTACAGTTCCTTGTATCTTGTTATTATATAATTTAAGGACGTGATAACTGGCGACGAGGAAAACCAAAATGGAGTCAACTGACATTACATCACATTTAAACAGTTACAAAAGGATAAGAACGTCAATCAAGGCACAATTGACTAAATTAACAAACAAGCTGAACAATCATGAAATTGATCCTAGGCAAGTTGACGAACGTCTAGAACTTCTGGACTCAACATGGACTAAATTTCTTGAAGTACAAGATTCGCTTCTCAATCTCTCACTGCAAGTGAGAAAAAGTACAGTCAGATAGACAAAGAGGCACTGGCAATTTACTGGGGATTGAAAAAGTTCTACCAGTATTGTTATGGCAGAAAGTTTATCCTTGTAACAGATCATAAGCCACTTGTTTCAATCTTTGACCCATACAGAACCTTACCTACTATGACTGCCACACGTATTTTCAATTACGCTCACTTCCTCTCTGGCTTCGATTATACTATTGAATATAGGAACACCAAATCACATGGTAATGCAGACTACATGTCTCGCTTTCCTAATGAGCATCCACCGACAAATCAAATCGATCAACACGAAGCCTTTTTCATTAATCAAATTGAATCAATGCCTGTAACACATGAAAATATTGCAAATGAAACATCTAACGACAATGACCTAAAACCTCTTTTGAAAGCACTTCAAGATGGCACGGATTTAGAACATATTGGCTTGAAGAATAATGAGTATTCACTTCATGATGGCTGCATTTTTCGTGGTTCCAGAGTAGTAATTCCTGAAAAACTACAAGGAAAAGTACTCAATGAACTTCATTTAGGACACTTAGGAGTTGTGAAAATGAAAAATCTTGCAAGAAGTTTTTGTTACTGGAAACACATTGACCGTAACATAGAAGATCTAGCAAAGTCTTGTCGTCCATGCTGTTTGAAGCAGAATCTTCCTGAAAAAGTAGATGTCCATCCTTGGCTGGTTCCATCAGGACCTTGGCAACGAATACACATCGACTTCGCAGGTCCAATTTATGGGCAATACCTTTTTGTTATCGTTGACGCCTATTCAAAGTGGGTTGAAGTCATACCAACCAAAACTACAACATCTAATTGGTGCATTCAACAGCTCAGGAAACTCTTCTCTACCTTCGGTTACCCGTTCACGTTAGTCTCTGACAATGGCCCTAACTTCACATCATCTATTTTCAACCAATTTCTACAAGCTTGTGGCGTTACACACAAATTCTCTGCCCCCTATCACCCTGCAACCAACGGACAAGCAGAGAGATTTGTTCAGACTGTAAAGAAACAGTTAATAGCAATGGAAAATGATGGAGGAGATTTGCACTTCAAAATAAATCACATCCTAATGTCACTAAGGAATGCCACAAATGCTACAGGGTCCTCGGCATATGAACTTATGTTTGGGAGACGAATAAGGACAAGGCTGGATCTTATGAAGAGACCCCAAGATCACACAGAAATGCCCGACGGATGTACTAAAATCAAAAGAGAGTTTCGGGTGGGGGACAGAGTTCAGGTGCGCAATTTCGGAAAAGACGGAAAGTGGAAATTTGGAAACGTAAGAAGGAGAGAAGGATTGGTGCATTATCAAATCGAGATGGACAATGGGCAGGTTTGGAGAAGGCACATTAACCACATTCGGCCGTGTAAATTTGAGGGGGAGGATTAATAAGGAGTTGTAATCAACATATGATTTCTTAACACACATGGTTTATGTTATTGTTTTTAATGTTTATGTTTATGTTTATATATTTTTCATTCAGTTAAAATGGTTGAATAAAATGGGTTGTACAGTTCCTTGTATCTTGTTATTATATAATTTAAGGACGTGATACATGTAATGATAGTTAGTAAAAAAAAGCTTCATTATTACATTAAATTTGGGATTAGAAAATCATCCCTTTTTACTTTCTACTCCAATACATATACTTAAAAAAAATGTGTTGTTTTGGTTAACATTTTGGAGTTTGGGCAGAAATATCCGTTTTTTGTCCCCCTGAACCCAAAAAATAAGTGGTTCCTGAAGTGATGTCTGTGAGTGGGTGTGTAAGCTACAGACAACACCCGTGGTCCGATTTTGATGAAATTTGGTAGAGTTTGTGTGTTTCCTGGGGAAGCCTGGGGGTAGATAGTGAAAGTGGCTCTGAACTGGTTTTGTAGGGGTATGCAAAAAATCAGCACTCTCAACCTGTCCGAGCAGCATTGTGGTAAGTTTAGAGAGAAAATGGATGGAGTAAATAAGTCTTAAAATTGCATCTACATTCTAAAAACGCCATAAAATACTTAGTTTTCTCATTTTAAAATTCTCTGCCATTTTGGAAATGGAATCAATTTTTTATGTCTTTTTAGAATTTAGATGCAATTTTAAGACTTATTTACTCTTGGCATTTTCTCTCTAAACTTACTCGTATAGGAGCTACATGGTGCAGAATGTACACCGCAAATAATTTTTCTTGGTTTTAACACGCTGTAACTCCTATATGAGTTGCTTTAGAGAAAAAAATCCAACGTTTTTAAACTACATATACTTTCATGACATATAATATGGGATCTTCCACAAGTAAAATCAAAGTTGGTGGCCATATTGGAAAAATGGCGGTTAAAATTATTTTTTCAACTTGACCAAACTTTTTAAAATAAAAATCCAAGGCAGTTACAATTTAAAATTTTTTGATGTTCTTATAACTTCCAAATAAAACAGCTGGCACACCGCCAGCTGGTGTACTGGGTCGCCGGAATTTCATCCCCCTGGAATTTTACCCCCTGGCCAAAGCTGACGTCACTATGACGTAGTAGCCTGAGTGGCCAAAAGTTTGTCCCCGGCCGGAATTTTGCCCCCCCGGATTTGGAAGTCTAATGAAAATAGCCAGAGCGTGATTAATTAGATTAGCGATAAAAACCGGAATTTTACCCCCTGTCCATATAACTAGCGTTTATACAACTGAAGACAACAGTTGGCTTCAAAGATCGAATCCTGATACTCAAATTTTAAAATTAAAATCAAAAACCTGTTCGATTAGTTTATGTAACAAATAAATTAAGATAGGCTACTTAATAATAAAATGTTTACTATTAAATTAAAACAGAATTAAGATAATTAATCATTCTCACTAATTTATATATCCAGGGGGTAAAATTCCTGGGGTAAAAATCCGGGGGTAAAAATCCTGGCCGTATACTCTAGGTGTTTATAATTTGATGTGTTCTGATTAAATTCACAACCGTGAAAATATATGTTTAATTCCGCGTTTAATCCATCGAGCTGATGTCGCAAAACTCAAAAGTTCGCGGCTGGAATTTTACCCCCTGGTTTGTGACGTCACTTTTGCCCAGGGGGTAAAATTCCAGGGGGATAAAAATCCGCTACCCCTTATATCAATCACCATACAGGGTGTTCAAAAGAGATGAGGACATAATTTACCTACTGAGAGTATCCAAGACACCGTCCGACACTATCTGAAAAGACACCACAATTTATGGGGAGGAAACTCTACAATACACTACCCATAGAGTTAAAGGAAATAATAGAGGAAAACGGTTTTAGAAAAAGTTAAACGATTTTTTGATTTAAAAAATGTATTATTCAGTTAACACATTTTTAAATTATAAGTTTTATAAAACAACTTGTTAAGAGATAATTCTCTTTCTTAAAATGATTTTTGTGAGGTTTGACTAATTTTTTCTGGATACTTAATTGCTAGGTGTACTCAATTATGATAACTTTATTATTAACTTTAACTTTACTGCATTGACAATGTCATCTATTCTGTTCTAGCTTTGCTAGTTGTTAAAGAATGTACTGTTATGACAATAAAGATATTCTTATTCTTATTCTTATTCTTACTGATTCCTTGGGTCAAAATAAAGAGAAAATCAAGAATAAAATTTGTTTCAAAATCGCTTTGTTAACCAGATATCCGCCATTTTGTATTTTTTACATAAACATTTTTATCTTTGAAGTTTTTCAACCCATGAGAGCCATGTTGGAAAAGATTGATCTTGATTCAACTTAAAATTTCAAATTGGCGCCCATTTTAATTTTTTAAACTTAAATTACTCAAAAATGGCCGATTTTATGAAAAAATGTCAAGAACATTTTTATTTAGCATTTTTCCCTTTTATTTAGCAATTCCCTATCAAATGATACCAAGATCAAAAAGATCGAATAAGAAATAGCTGAAATATTATGATTTTTAGTTGTAAAATGGGGCAAACCTGACTAGTTTCTGCCTTATTCTACCCCATTTTAATGATGGTCTACAAGCAAAGATTTCTCATACGTTTTACCAGAGGGATAAAACTATTGAGGAGAGCATAGTTTTGACAACGTTTTCAGACAAGACGTTGCGTTTGTACCCTGTCATCCGTTTCAACTCCATCCTCACGCTTAACTATCCAGTCTCTAGTGTTGTCTTCACATGCTGTCAGAGGGATAAGTGTTTTTTTACGATGGCAGATCTTCGCCAATGTTCCCGTGAGTTTATTGTTGAATTCATCGAACTTTACAGAAGTTTTCCTTGTTTGTGGAAGGT